CAACTTTTATGTATTTTGGATTATATCATTAAGTGCATAAAAATTTAGAATTACCTTTTTAAAAAATTTTTAATGTTTATTTTTGAGAGAGAGAGAAAGAGAAAGAGAAAGAAAGAGAGAGAGAGAGAGAGAGAGAGAGAGACAGGACAGAGAATTCAAAGCAGGCTCTGAGCCATCAGCACAGAGCCCCACATGGGACTCAAACCCATGAACTGTGAGGTCATGACCTGAGCCGAAGCTGGATGCTCAACCAATTGAGCCACCCATGTGCCCTGAATTGTTACCTCTTTCTGATAACTGAAGTGACCCTTTTTATTTCTAATAATTCTTTTTTTATGCCTTAAAGTTTACTTCAATATTAATATATCTACACCAGTTTCCTATGGTTACTGTTTGCTATTTCTCCCTTTTCTTTCAAAATTTCTAAATTTATGTTTTAAAAAGTGTCTCTATAAAACAGATGATTTTTGTTTTTTAAATTTATTTTTAAATTTAATTTTAAGTAAGCTCCATGTCATAAATGGGGTTTGAACTCAAGATCCTGAGATCAAGAGTTACATGCTTTACTAACTGAGCCAGCCAGGCATTGCTATGATTGTTATTTTTAAAGCTAGCCTGACAATCTTTGTCAGCAATGGAGCATTAGCCCATTTATATTTAATGCAATGATGGATTTATCACATATATCTTGCAACTCGCTTTCTATTTGTTCCACTGGTTCTGTTTTCCTTCTTTCTTATCCCCTTTTGTAGCTCTTCAACCTGCCACTAAGTTGGTTATTCCACCCTCCCAATTAGTTTCAAAGTCACACTCTTTTACTAATACTTTTTACAACATGCATTCTTGACTTATCAAAGTGTAATATTAAATGGGATTTTTCTTAATCCTCTTCTTGGATGATGCAGGGGGCTTAGAACTCTATTTAAGCCCTCTCCACTTATATACCTTCGCTTTCATGCATTTTAATTTGATATATATTTGAAACTCCAAAACTACTGTTTTACATCATCAGTACTTATGTTGACCTGTACTTTTCTCATTTTCATTGCTCTTCAATCCTTCCTGAAACCATCCTTACAATTGGGATGATTTTCTTTTCTGCCTTTAGATCACTCTTAATTTTTCTTTAGGATATGTATACTGATGAATTCTTCCAGTTGTTTGTTGAAAAATGTCTTTTCTTCTTCTTCATTCTTGTTATTTTGCCAACTAGAAGATTCTAGGTTGGCAGTCATTCTCTCTTGGTACCTTAAAGGCATGATTTCATGGTCCTCCACTTTTCTGCTGAAAGGTAATCCCACCACTACCAGAGTCTAGTGGTGGCTTTAACATTCACTTTTCTCTGGTTTTCAACAGTTTTACTATGATGTGTCTAGGTGTGGATTGTCTGTTTTATTTCTGCCCCAGGACTGAGGTGATTTACAAGCTGGGCCACAGTATCCATGAAGGATAGTCTATTGATTGGAATGGAGGACTAGGTAATCTAGACCAACCCTCCAACTAAGAACTTGGAAATCTGGCCAAAATTTTAAAATTTTGCTTTAAGGCATGTGAGAGCCAACAAGATGGTGAGATATTACCTGGTCAGTTGTATGGGACTGATTTTCCTCAGGGGGGAGGAGGGTCTTTGCAAATTCCAGAGGCTGTTGTCTATCTGGCACTTTCAATACCCTTGCAGGGGCACCTGGATGGCTCAGTCAGTTAAGCATCTGACTCCTGATCTCAGCTCAGGCCATGATCCCACAGTACCTGGGTTTAGTCCCGCATCAGGCTCTGCACTGACAGCATGGAGTCTACTTGGGATTCTCTTCCTCTCCCTCTGCTTGCCATCGGGCTCTGTGCTGACAGCTCGGAGCCTGGAGCCTGCTTTGGATTCTCTCTTCCTCTTTGTAACCCTCCCCTGTGTGAGCTCTGTCTCTCAAATATAAACATTAAAAATTTTTTTAAATACAAAAAAAGGCTTGTAAAGTCAGAGAGGAGTCATTTCCATATATGACCTGACCAAGGGGAGAGGGTGGGGTAGGTCCAGATGAACCTCCCTTGCTTTGTGTGGAGAACCCCAAATGGACATACTCTAAGGCGATTAAATTTTATGCTTTACTAATGTTTTTAAAAAATAAAAAATGTATTATTTGCTGTGACTTGTGTGCTATAATCCATTCCTCAGCTTTCCAAATTCATAGGAGGCTTGGATCTTCATCAGAGAATAGAAACCCTGATCTCATTAACTCCCAAAGGCAATGTAGGACACTGGAATAACCTTGAATTTGGTGTCAGAAAGCCCAAGGATCAGTCCCTAATATCAAGGGGCACCTACTGAAATTGGAGGCATAGTGCCTGGGAGAGAATTAAGAGACCCAAAGGGTTGACCTTGCAAACCCAAGCCTATAAAGTATCAGCAAGTGGCACAACTCTATGGCTCTGGAAAGAAGCACAGAATGACTCAGTTATGCAGAGAGATTTAATGCCTCAGGCAAAACGCTGGCTCTCCAGAAAGTAAAGGTTTGTTGCCTAAAGAGTATTAAGAAATTTTAGGCCTGGGAGCATCTCCCCCTTAAACTGAACTTTGCTCTCTCTTTACATTAGCAAGCTTGAGGAAGTTGCTGAGTGTTCTGACTGATGCGGGTCCTATGTTCTTTCCTCTCTCCATCTTCCTCGTTTCCAGCTCCTGTGATTTCCTTCCAGAGTAGTGTCCTTTCTGTGCCTCACCTTGGAGACCTTCTTGGTCTTTCCTTTCTTGCTTTCTGTCCTCGAGCTCTTTCACACTCCTGCTTCCGTGTGCAGTTGCGCGAGGACCGCCCGCCCCATGGTGCCAACACTGCAAGGCTGTTATTCACAGATCTGACGGCACCAGGCTGGACAGGTGACCATGGGAATCAGGGCCACCATTTTGAAGGTTTTTGCCCATGGCCTTCAGCTCTTGAGGGAATGTGATACTGAAAGGGGCCCATGTATTCGCAAACAAGCACTGTGGCAGAACTCTTGGTTTATGACGCAGTGCAGTAACACTTCCATCTCTTGGGTACAATCAGAGGTTAACTCCATCCAAGCACAGGATGGTCCTGTACGGCCTCATTCTACCCATTTTTACTTTGTGGAAAACAGATTTCTAAGCAAATGAACGCAAGCATGACTCAAGGTTATCAGTTAAATTTATTGTCATGTAACAAATTTTTTGCACAATCAGGAGACTCCTGGTGGGTCTCCAGAGCGGAGGCAGGGACGCAGTGGGGCCTGGGAGCGTGCGCTCATGTGCTGCGTGGGGCGGTAGCCACGGCTGCGCTTTAGGCCAGTGAGCGCTTCGGCCGTTTGGTTAATTAAAAGAGGGCGGAGGACAGGCGCCCACTGAGAACGGGGCTTTGCAGGCACCTCGGTGAGCCAGGGGCCTAGGGAGCAGGGGCTGCAGGACCCCCTCCATCAAAGCTCCTTGACTGACTTTAGGGGACCCGATTTCCTCCTGCCACAACAACGGACAGCCCTGCAGGCTGTGACGACCCCGCGGCTCTGCCCAGCCCTCGGCCTCCAAGGTCAGGGCCACGGTCCTCCCAGAGGTTCAGTTGTTCCACGTGGCCCTCTTAGAATTTTGTGTTTTGGTTTAAAGGAAAGGAAGCAGATCAAAATGCTTTGGAAGCAAATTCAAGCTGTGTATCATTTCCCCGTGTGGGAAAAAAATAGTTGCTACCTAAAATGACAATTGTTCAGAACGTGAGGACTGATCCTTCCACCCTCAAACCGCCTCTCCCCCCGGGCGACACTAGGCAGGAGCCGGTAACATGCCTCATCTGTTGGGTGGAGGCCCTGTCCGTGGGACGGTAAGTGAGATACGGGACAGTCCCCCGCCATTCGCGAAGATCGTTGAGAGGCCTGAACAGAGCATGGCCTGAGGGGACAGTGGGCAAACTGCACCTGCCTCGTGGGTCCCGCCACCAGTGACAGCCCTTCGTCAGTCAGTCAGCCTTAGGGAGCCTTGGCTCCGGCCCTGATGACGATGAAACGGGCCTCAAAAGCCGTCCTTCAGGACGGAACAGCCCAGGCTTCTCAGGGGTAGAAGCCACACAGATGTGCACTTACATACTGGGGCGCTTATGACCTTATGAAGCTCCTCAGAGCTTCATGGGACTGGAAATGGCTCCTCTTAGACCCTCGCCCATTGTGACGGACCCCAGTGACTCTGGCCTCCAGCCTGGGGACACAGGACAGGTGAGAAGCTTGTTCCTCATATGGACTGGGCAGCAGCAGATGGAAACTGGGTGCTTGGTCTCATCTGGGACTGTGTGCTTTCTATGCAGAGAAGTAAATTCTTTCCGTGTCTCTGAGAATGGAAACGAGGTCTCTCAGCCACTCTGCCCTTGGTGCCTGCGGCCGGAAGCTTCTCCCTCCAGCTCAGGGCCCCGAAAAGTGTAAACAAAGTCAGAAATGAAGAGAAAAACATGTTTTTCATCTCCTGTAGAATACTGTATTAATCAAATTGGTCTCCTTTTCTCCTATTAGTCTGGTTGAAGAAAAAAAGATTGCTTTCAAAATGAAACTTTTCCCAATGATTAATACAGAGTAGATTAACTTAATTTGTGCTAGACTCCAATTTAATTCAGCTACAGCTCAGAGGCCAAATCCGCAGAAAAGCTAATCTGAGCTTCATGAGAAGAAGCTGTTTCTTTCTCTGAGAAGGATGCACGGGGACTGACCTACAGGCTTCTATCCAACTGCCCGGCCACCGTGTTTTTCAAATCATGGGCCCTCTGGAAGGCCACCTCTCACACATACGACTTCATGTCCTCATTAATTCCTGTCCTGTCACCTTTTCAGGTATTTCTTAATGTTGGCGCGCACGCACGCACACACACACACACACACACACACAGCCAAAACCAAAGTCTTGAACATGCAAAAAAAACCCAAAAACAAAACCCCCACAGTATGGACTGGTGAAGTGTTATATGCCTAAGGCATCAGATTCCTGGAAAAGCTCTAGATTTTTGGTTTAGAAATGAAATTGCGTGTGGAATAGCAGGTTTTTTACATTTATTATCGTCGGGTACCCCCCCCCACCATTTTTTTGCACTACAATCTAAGCTGAGTGATCTATTGCCAACTGGGCACCGATTCTCCAAATCCAAGTGTGTAAGGGAAACACGCCCGTGTGATTCTCTTTGATGGAAGACGCACCAGGCAATCTGTCTACTTCTGTCCCCCGGAAAGAAAACAGCTAGAAGGGCTGCTTGGCTGGAGGGGGGGAGGCTGTGAGGCGGTGGCCTGCCCTCAGTCGGAGTCCATTGTGAAGAGCTGAATGGCCTGTGGGTTCCAGTAGAGGCCTACTGCTGAGTTGTAGACCAGAGACCAGACATAGGGGATAAAAAACTCCTCAGGCTGCTCCTCTTCCACATATTTGAATTTCAGTTCTGGAAATTTCTGCAACAGAAACGAGACGATTTTATAATGTCGCAGTTCCACGCCAAAGGAGCAGCAGTGACTCGGGGGCATTGTGGGCGCAGGGAGCCGCCTCCCTGACCGGTCAGGGCCCGAGAGCCCTAGGAGCTTCACGCGCCCCTTTCCAGATGACTCTGGAGAAGATGTGAATTACCCGCAGGAAAGCCCCGTCACTAGTCACACTAGTCACTAACGTCGGTCTGTCGGTCTGCCTAGTGGAGCAGGGGCCGGGGTGGGGGATGTGGGAGGACAAATGTCAGAGGAGCTGACGGAGGGCTCAAGGAGAGACTATCTACCGCACAGGCTGAGGGCCGGCTCTTCCTGAGAGACTTGGCTTTCAGGGCCGAGTCACTGTGGAGAGGAGCGCTCTCCCTGGCGACTCCCGAGGCCTGACCCTCGGGGGCAAGCACGTGTCCGCAGCAGAAGGCCGGGCGGCAGCTGCTCCGTACAGCTTAGCCTTGGCCTTCTGCTGGGGGCCGTGCTGAGGGCCATGGCCTCACGGAGGGAGGGAAGCTGGGGGGCTCCTTGAGGCCCCAGGAACGCTCGGCTCCGGCTCTGTGAGCGCGGCCAGGCTGCTCAGCGAGCGCTCGGCCTGCAGGGCTGCACCTGGGGGGTGGGGTGGGGGGAGAGGTTTCAGGTTTTCTACCTGGACTCCTGTGGGGACAGAGGAAGCAGCTCTCATTCCAGCGGCAGCTGCTGGTCTCCAGGCCCGCCCCCACCCCGTGACCAGGGTAGGAGCTGTCACAGTTGGAGTCGGGGCAGGGAGAGGGGAGGGCGGCGGTGTCCTGAGCGTAAGGGGGCAAGTCAGGAGGCAGAGGGAGCGCTGGCAGAGAGGGGGGCAGCCAACATGGATGGAGCATATGAGGGCGGGGAGATCCTTACCCGTTGTGCTTGCTGCTGCCTCCCCCCCAGACAGAGGCGCTTAAATAATTTGATGAATGAATGAATCGGTGAAAGCAGCAACTATATACTGAGGACCCACCATGTCCCAGGCAACAGCAGATGCTTAGTCTTTCATTCAGTCAGTGGACTGGCTGGGCGTCTGCTGCTCGGAGCCAGGAGGCACTGGGTGCGGGCCCAGGGGTGCAGGGGTGGCGGCCACCGGCGGACCTCCCCTCCCAGAAAATGCGCTGTCTGAGGGGGAGACAAACAGCAGCAGCAACAGCAAAGCAACGAGAAGTGATGCGTGAGACACAGGACACGGGAGGCTCCGGAGGCCCGGGGCGGAGGCGGGGCAGCCGCTGGAGAGGGAAGTGTGTTCCCCCTGCAGGACCATGTGGAGGCCAGGCCTGTGTGGGGCCTGGGGTGCACCGGGCTGCAGGGCAGAGGAGGAAGAGGAGGTAGGGGAGCAGGGGGGGAGGAGTAAGCGCCAGCGGGCAGGGCTCAGGCCTGGGAGGACACAGGGGGACACAGAAGCCACACGAGGCATCCTGGCCTCCACGCTAAGGTCCTGGAAGCCTCTGAAGGGTCTGAGAAGGGGGTCTGGTGAGAGAGACTGTGCTGGGACAACTCCAATCACCGTGTGGAGAATGGAGGGCGTCTGGCAGAGGCGGGGATAGGCCTGGTCTGGGGTGGGGGGGGGCGGGAGGCAAACAGGCCTAAACTAAGATGGAGGAGGGGGATGGGCAGGAAAGCCACCTGTGCGCCCACCCACGCACCCACCCCCCCAGTTGTAGGGATTTAAAGCAGTATTTATAATAATGGAGGCTCAACACCTAAGTGCTGGGTCCTCAGAGTACCAGAAAGATGAGAGAAGGGTTGCTTCTGGCAAGGTGAGTTCTGAGCTAGATCTTGAAAACGTGTATAGGAATTCCCGGAAGGGGGTTGCCCTGGTCATGGATGTTACTTCAACACACCACACAGCCCAGTCCCATCTGTTACAGCTCTAATGAAAACCAACTCTGCTCCACGGCTCCAAAGGCGTTATGTAAATACAGAATACACACAAATGGGAAACGGGATTTATCAGTGGCCCAAAGGCCAGCACCGGCATTACCCACCCCTACGGCTTCGCTCAGGCTCCGTGTACCCCGTACTTTAGAGGCCTTTGCAGAAGTACTGTGGTTTCACGAAAACCCCAGCCTTTTCAGACCATGAGTGTTTCGAATCAGTTCTTCATCACCAGCAGTGGAGGCTGAAAGTCTCAGAGTGTGCTGACGACAATGCCGGGGACTGTGACGTAGGGGACAGTCCCCCCACCTCCCCGGCTCCTCTGGGCAGTCTGACTGAGAAAGTTTGGTCAGCTAAAGGGTGTGGATGAATGCCAGCCCATTCTGAGGTGACTGGCATTCAGCTGGGGCCCCTAGTTTTCCATCCCCTTGCTGTCTGCGCCCAAAGGCCCCCTGAACCCCTCCCACCCTGGGTGCACCATAACCTCTCAGCAGCGGGGGGGCCTGGGCCCTTGGCACCCATGCTGAGGCTCCTCACATGCTCTGTGCTGCTTCCGGCCTGGCCTGGGGGCCTCAGGCATGAGGGGACAGAGTTCTTGGAGGTGGCAATAAGTCTCTGTCACAGGATCAGGTCTCTTACAGTGCTGTTCTTTGAGGTGAGAAACCTGCATTTGTGGCAACACGGTGCAGCTACCACCAACCCTTGGTTGGTCATGCCCTGGTCAGTCACCACGATGTCTTGCTGAGGCTGATGCGGCCAACCCCCCTAATGGAAGGCCAAGCAGGGCCTGGAGGCGAAGCTGGTTCTGGGTCACCCAGCCCGTGGGGTGGCGCAGGTCTGACAGGGTGGGAAAGTCTGTGTGGAAACAGACACGGGGTTGAGGCCACCCTAGTGCCTCATCCTTGAATTAAACTCTGCTGGGCTCCGCGGGGCCCCTCAGGGGCAGTTCTGTGCCCCTTCACTGCACGGCACAGAGCCCAGCATACTGGTCCTTAGAAAATGACCAAGCCACAGTGATGTCCTAATCAAGGAAGAACGAGGGGTTGTGTTTGAAGAGGAAATTTACCCCCTAATAATATGGATGAAAATCCTAGTTCTTAGAATGGCCTCCAACTTGAGAAAACCTTTCCCACTGACCCCTCCGGAGAGAAGTGAGGTACACGGTGGCGGTCTGGAAAGTTCAGAGCCCCCCCCACTGCCTCTTTCGGCTGGAAATAACGACAGCTTACATTTCTGAGCGGTAATGTCACCAATACGACACACTTGTTGTTAGAAACAGAAGTGATTAAAAGATGTGAAACCTTTTCTCCATCCAGTGACATAGTTGGGGTTTTCCTGAGAAGGCCTCAGGAAAGGACGTGAGGCCGTTTGCGTGAGGCTACTCTCTGCGTCTCTGAGGGAAGAACTAGGAAAGAAAACCAGAGAACCAAATGCTTTTGTAAGAACTCCTCCCAGCTTAACTAAAGACACTTTGGCAAGAGTTGCTCGGTGGCTGGCACTATGTTCGTCTGCCCTCACGGTTCTGGGGGATTCTGACGACTCTTCTTCGAGAAAGAGTGATGGGTCCAACTCTGTCCTTCGATCATGCAGCATCCCCATGACTGTGCTTCCCACCACCTCATCGAACAGAGCTGAAAATGCCTGGTTTTTACTGTGGCTCAAGTTCATGTCAAGACAATGACCCCATCACTCTGGAGCAGATGCAGCACACAGAGTCTCAACAAGGGAGGATGCCCAGAGTGGCAAGAACATCTAAAATACAGTACAGAACAGCACATGGAAGACAGTATATAAAATGGTACACAGTGTATCTGTCAATACCAGACATGTATTTTATTACGAAGTTTTTCTTCAAGCAGATCGATGATGATTTTTATAGAAGTTCTCCATAAAAGCAGAATCAATTCTGAGACGATGCCTAACATAACCAATCACCTGCTGTAGGGTGGGCACATTCAAACACTTCAGATTTAGACACTCATCAAGTCTCAGAAGTACCCAGAAACAGCACTTGAAAGACAAGCAGATAATTTGAGTTTCGGCCCCATCTTTCCCCACTGATTCATTCACTCAGCAAACATGTACTGAGAGCCTTTTGACTGTGTCAAAAGCACAGGACTAAAAGTCTAGCTAAGCGAGTCACACAGGATCCTAGCATTTATGAGCTCCAAGTCCAGGCCTTAGTAGCTGGGTGACCCGGGTCAAAGCTCATATCCTCACCCAGACTCTTAAGACATAAAGTTTACCCTGAGATTTTTTTATTTTGATCATCCCGTCTCCTTCACAGGGTCGTGACAAATCTAATGAGCAGTCTCCGGGACAGGGTAAATATCTAACGGTCCTGAGCTGTCCCTCGGGTTGACAATAGATGGCTTTAAAGGCTAAGCCTCCCAACTACTTAGAACTAAGACAAGCACGAGGCTGTGGCTGAGCCGCGCGGTGGCTTTAGAGCTTGTGGCTACATGGGCTGAGGCTCAGGCGTGGCCCCTGCCCCTGGCTCGTGAAGGCTGGCCCCCTGCCACAGACTGGATGCCCAAGTTGTTGTGGTGGCACTGGACACGGCAGGGGTGGGGGGCAAAGAGCAAGTACAGACAGAACAGCACGAGGGCGAACGCCACCCCAGACACTGTGGATGGTGCCCACACTTGCCCCTCAGCGGACAGCACCAGCTCCTCTCTCCTCAAAGGAACACGTGAGCCGCGAGGTGCTATTTCTTGGGTTCTTTGTTCAGAACTTTTCACCAACATTTTTTATTTAAAAAAAAATTTTTTTTTAATGTTTTATTTATTTCTAGGAGAGAGAGAGAGACAGCGTGAGCAGGGGAGGGCCAGAGAGAGAGGGTGTCACAGACTGAAACAGGCTCCAGGCTCCGAGCTGGCAGTCAGCACAGAGCCCACGCGGGGCTCGAACCCACGAACCGCGAGATCATGACCTAAGCGAAAGTCGGACGCTTAACCGACTAAGCCACCCAGGCGCCCCATTCACCAACATTTTTTAAAAGGTTCCGAATGGAGGATAAATCCTAAACTGCAGGGGGAAAAAAAAGAGCATGTTCCCTCAAACCAGCTACACGTATTTGAAAGCACAAGGTA